CGTGGAAATTATAGCAGATAAATACTCTAAACGCATATTTCTAAATGTGGAGAGAAAAACCGGAGGACTCGGTGAAAAATCCACGCGACCACGGGGAGAACATGCAAACTTCAAATATGCAATCATCAGGAATGGGATTGAACCCACGACCTGTATACTGTACATGGGCGAGGTATTTAACAACGCTACCTAACAGCTGTCGAGTACCAGCTAACCCCTTCAATAATTAATCATAAGGTATTACTCGGCAAACTCATTCATAAAAAAGGTTAAATCATAAAATATTTGCTGGAACGTTGCTTTGTGGCTTTGACGGCCCAATAAGGAGCTTGTGAAAGGCCGAATAGCTTGCAGCAGGTTTGCAAAGTGACATTTATTCTGCAAAGGCAAATTATGATTCACACAACAGCACATACAATACGACACGACAAAGAGCGAGCGTTTAAATAGCAGCTGTGAGAAGGGGAAATCCCTTGGTGCAGAGCAGGTGAGAAGCGCTGCCTTGGATGGCACCGCCGAGAAAGAGGGGAGGGACATTGTCTCTCGGTGATTTTCACATGTGACTACAATCACTACGACCACTGCACAGAGGCAATAACGCGTGGCACGCTGTTAACCGATATAAATAATGATGTGGGCTTTTTTATTGTATTAAGGGGTAAGCAGTCTAACTGGTGTGCTCATTTGTTACAGTGTCAAAAGTGAAAACCATTGTTGCTATCCACGATTGCTTCATGTGAACACCTGATTAATGTGGGGTGCCACAGTCGGGAGATGTTAACTACCCTGCCTGATGTATTTGGAGTTTACATGTTCTCCCCTTTTTCGCGTGGATTTTTCTCTGGGTCCTCCAATTTTTTCCTCTAAATTTCGAATCAACATGCGTTAAGGATATTTGGCTCCTATAAATTTCCACGTGATAACCCACTTCGTTGAGCTATAATTTGTGATGGCCAGGTTGCTTCGGAAAGAGATATATGCTCATTGTGGCCTTACCTGGTCAAATAAATAGCTTTAATGTATGAATTGAACCGATTGACTTTAGCTGTGACCTGTTTTTTAATGGAAAATAAATAAATCGCAGAGCGAGATATAGCTCACCCAAAATGACTCTTAAATGTGCACACAGCACAACCATACATTTTTTATGAGAACACTTTCTCGGCTACGTGTTGTTTCATGTTTTACCGCAGCAAATGTTTCCCTGGGGAAGATCCCTCTATTTAATGATACATATACAAGAGTTTCCCAAACAGGCTGGCCTGAGTGGTTTAAAATCGTGTAGAAAATGCGTTGGGCCCGACACACTTAGGGTTTGGAGGAGTTCATTACTGATCCACGGGGTATAAAACAATTCCATTCTGCTCGGCTCGTATTGAACTTCTTGTGCAGGTTTGTCTCCGCTCAACAGCTTGTGATACGCCCAGTGGCGTTAGAAGCCTTTTCTCAGAAAAGCGTAGTGCGATTGAGCAGCGTGGAAATAAAGATAAATATTGGACATGGATATCGCGCTAGAGTAATGGTTAGCATTCTGGACTTATAATTCAGAGGTCGCCGGTTCAATTTCCCACCGCTGCAGTTGAAACAATGGGCAAAACGTCTTAAATCCCCCCTACCTGTGTCCACCCAGCAGTATAAATGGGTACACCACGGTCATTTTACAAGTCACGTGTGGCGGGGTAAAGTGTACCTATTCATACCTCTTCGGAGACGTCTGGCCAGCATGGAAGGGAGCCAGTTCTACAGAGATGCAGCTCGTGGAGGCCCTTTCCACCAGCAGTGATGCTTTTACAACATTTCATTGTTTCACCTTTACCTTATTGGTCACAGAAAGGCAGTGCAAAAGGCACTCTCTGACTGGATGCTGGTAAACAACCTGGTGCATATAGAGCAAGACTCGTATCTCTGCTTAGATATATCACCGAATATGGGTTGTCCTGGCTACAGCTGACAACAGCCTGCAGACCACCGAATTCACTGAATGTAGCTGCCAGAGACACTTGATACACTTTGGTAAATTACCCGCAAGCAACTAATGTGGAGGGGCAGATCTAGCGCTCATGTGGGCAGCGTTACGACATCGGGGCCAAATCCGCCTGTGTGATTGTCCGTGGACAATAAGCAAAGCATTTCGTTGTTTTCTGCTGCCAGCAACTCGCTCACCTGCTACCTCACGGTGCAGTTGGGCGGCCTCCTTACCCCAACAAATGGCTTCTAAGTCTCCCTGTGAGGTCCACCATCTCACTGTGAGGTCCACCGTCTCACTGTGAGGTCCACCGTCTCACGGTGAGTTTCACCGTCTCACTGTGAGGTCCACCGTCTCACTGTGAGGTCCATAGTTTCACTGTGAGGTCCATAGTCACCCTGTGAGGTCGAGCCACGCTGTGAGGCGCATGGTCTCGCTGTCCATAGACCTGCTATGAGGTCCGTATTTTTACTGTGAGATCCATCGTCTTGATGTGAGGCCCATGATCTCACTGTGAGGTCCATAATCTGGCTATGAGGTCCATATTATTTCTGTGAGGCCCATAATCTCATTGGTGAGGACTCACTCACACATCATACACTGGGAGTGTCGTGCTGCCAGCTATGGCTGCAGGTTTTGTCGTACGTGTTATGTATATCGTTTATTGTTAAATTAAAAATCACAGTTCCTATGATTACTCTTGTTACATTGTTTTTGCAGCTTTATTTTGGAAATTCGAAAACATATGGTAAATCTAAATTGTCTTTTGGTTGTTGTTGTTGTTGTTGGCTTGCACCACATTGTGATTTTTGCACACAGCGTTTTAATATTTTTTGTGTGGAATATTTGCTGGTTGAATTCCAGAATGTTTCTGTTGCGCGTCGTCGCTTTAAGATGTTCTGTGTTCAAATTTTATTTGTTGCGGTTGCACCCGACTTAAGAGCCGCATGGCTCACAGGGCTATACCTAATAAATGAAACTTGAAACTTGAAACTATAGTCTCGCTGTAAGGTCCACAGTCTTACTGTGAAGTCCATTGTCTCGCTGTGTGGTCCTTAATCTTGTTCTAAGGTCCATCGTCTCATTGTGTGGTCTATAGCCTCACTGTGGGGTCTTGCTATGAGGCCCATAGTTTCTCTCTGGGTTACATAGTATTTCTGTGTGGTCCATAGGATCACTTGGAGACGCAAAGTCTTACTATGAGGTGAGTCCATAGTCTCAGTGTAGGGGTCCCAAGTGGAACGTCCCACAATGTCGGGGCTGGAAAGGCTGTCCGCATCGTTGGAGGAAGGAGCAGCCAATATAGCCATTAATAGCACTCTTAGATTTTATATATATATAATTATATAGTACTTTTGGGCTGAGTTTGATCATTTCAAGTAAGCTATACAGGAACAACACTTGGGATCTCCACGACGGTTTTTGGTGAAAATACACTCCTTAACACATAAGCTTTCGCAACCAATATTATCCATAATAAAGGTTTTTTTGGGTTAGGTCACGTAAAATACAGTTCATTAGTACGGTTTGTCACTTAAACAAAACGTGCCAATTCGTTACTTGTTCAGCACACCGGTGTGTTGGAGAGTAAACTCACAACATTTACAATTGCATCACCTTCACTCTATTCAAGACCGAAACATGAAGACTTCGTCACAATTTCGGCAAATCGCATGATGAAGCTGGTTGTTGTAATCACCAGCGAAACGTCACAGTGCTAAATTGTTTAATGTTGTGAGTTTACTCTCCAACACACCGATGTGCTGAAGTAGTAACTAATTGGCATGTTTTGTTTACGTGACAAACCTTACTAATTTGCTGTGTTGGGTGGTGGCGGGTTTGACGACACATTTATACTCACGCGATTTAACCCCATGGTAGCCATCTGGCTACCATGAGAGATTCGTTCATGAGGCTATCCACATATACAAACACGGAGACAATTTCAACCGAGAAGATGGATTCTGGCTTAGCAATCATTGGGAGGATTTCATAAACCATTTCGGGTCTTAATTGATTGATCACGCTTAAGGTGGCTTTCAGACCGCATCCATTATTTTTCGTCTCCCCCCTCCTCTTTTCCGAACATAGATGGACTCGTCCATCTGAATAATTGCCAAATCGCTCTCCGTGGTGCTAACGTTAAAAAATAACCGCCACTTTTTTCAAAATTTATTGTTGTAGTTTTCACACCTGATGATGATTGCATGTGTTGCAGTCGAAACGTCGTGAGAATTTTATTGTTTTATATTTTTTATTTTATTGTTTCCCTTCTACGTGACTTTACCGAAAGAACCAAGAAAATAAATACACTACTGCTTCTTCTTTGGTTCTTTCGGTAAAGTCATGAAGAAGGAGAATAAAATAATAAAATAAGACAATAAAATTCTCACGACGTTTCGGCCACAACACAAGTAGCCTTCTTCAGGTGAAAGAACAGAACTGTAGGGACGACAGTTCTTATTTTATTATTTTATTCTCATTCTACGTGACTTTACCGAAAGAAGGCTACTTGTGTTGTGGCCGAAACGTCGTGAGAATTTTATTGTCTTATTTTATTTTATTATTTTATTCTCATTCTACGTGACTTTACCGAAAGAACCAAAGAAGATGAATCCTTGCAGTCACGAAAGCTTTAAATCGACACTACTGCTTATAAAGTATATTTCCCCTCATTGCCTTACCCCATTACTCCACAGAGACAACCTAAATGCATCAACACTGTACTATGTGCATTCAACGCTTCAACCTCAACAAACAAAAAAGCATGCCACACATAATGTAGAGATATCTGCCTCCTGTTGGGAGCTCCCCCTGTGACGCGTGTGTCACGTGCTGGGGAGTGTGAATCATCATGCAAGGATTGTGAAGGCGGAGCCTGGACCGATTGAGATGTCGTTCGCCGATTATCTTAACCTTGACCGGGATTTGCACTCGGGTCGTCAGGTTCGTAGCGCAGTGGACAGACAACCACGCCACTGGCCAACTCCACAATTGGCTCAAACTGTTGCTGTGGCGTTGCTGTTTTTTCCAGGCTTCTGGGCACTTTCTGCATGGTTCTTCAGCAAGTGGTGGAAGATGGCGTGCTGGAGATCACGGACACACTTCTTGATGACAACAACACACCCACCAAGGTACTTTTTTTCTCACAGATGCTTGCCATGACCAGGCAAGCGGTGGCGAGATGTTAACTCCCTCGCCTGGTATACAGGATATTGTGTGCTCGATCCCAACCCTGACGCCTGTATATTTGGAGTTTGAATGTCCTCCCCGTGGTAGCGCGGATTTTTATCCGGGTCCTCCAGCTTTTTCCTCCACATTTAGAATCAACATGACGAGTTTAGAGTATTTGGTTGCTATAAATGTACACGTGATAAGCCAAATTGTTGAGCTATAATTTGTGATGGCCAGATTGCTTCTGAAAAATAGCTACAGTATATAGCTCAGTGGGCCTTACCTGGGAAAATTTTATATAGTTTAGTTTAATCCATCACAGTCTTCTTAAAAGATAGATAGACCTCTGTATGTTTTAGGATGATCACACCTGAGGTCTGGAATTTAAACAAACTTTCACCTCAGCCACGGTTTTGAGAGATGCTGTGATTTGCTGTTGGGTATATGGCTGTGCACAGCAGGATGCGCCTGACATTGTTCCTCAGTAACACAGACATTTGGAGTTTTAGGATGGGATCATTGATAGATAATTATTCCTAAAATGTTACAAATAAGTCACGTTCTTCAGTTGTGTACATTTACACTGAATTTGACCAAAATCAGACTTTATTAACATGCAGTAATCCACAAATAAAAGTAAATTCTTGGGAGAAAATACCACTCTCTCGCCTGCTGCCTTTATGGGTCCTAGATGCTCTTTTGACCTCCAGAGATACATTTTTCTGCAGATGAAACACGTAAAGATTACCAAGTCTCGTGGTTCTGCCTATCTCGAAAGCTCACAAAACCAGCTTCAAACTTAGTAGTAGCGAGATGTTAACTATCTTGTCTGGTATTCAGGTCATGGGTTCGATCTCGACCCTGACGCCTATATATTTGGAGTTGGCATGTTCTCCCCCTGGTCTCCGGGTCCTCCGGTTATTCCCCTACACATTTAGAAACAACATCACGCGTTTAGAGTATTCGACTGCTATAAATTTCCACGTGATAAGCTACTTCATTGGGCCATCATTTGTGGCCAGGGTGCTTCTAAAAAAGAGCTATATAGCTCAGTGGGCCTTACCTGGTCAAATAGAAAATTGTTTAGAGTTTAGTTTGCAGAATACATTGTATTAGGGTTAATAGTGTGACGCATGACTCTCAACACATACATCCGTTACACTTCTTCCAGCTCGCCTCCAGGCCCTTGGCAATCTCTGCCACTATTTCTCTCCACGTCCACCTGACACTCGGCGACTCGAATCTCCCGCACCGATCAATCTATCGCGCCACTCCGTCCGCACCGTTCACCTCTTCTCTGCGCTGGCACTCCCCCCTCACTCCACCGCAGTCATCGCTCCTTCACGCTGCCTGACACAGCAGCTTCCCCGGGACCACCCTCCCCTTTGGTCCCTTCTGATGTTACGCTCTCACCTTAGCTCCTGTTATTCGCCTCAATACCATTTTACAGCCAATCAGATCTGATTCATATTTTGTCGAAATGCTATCTCCATTTCTCCTAAAGTTCACTTCTTCTCTATTGCCCATTCCCTTCCTCTTCCCTCCCCTTACCCCTCCACTCCCTCTATCGTGATCACTCATTCTTCAAGAAATATAAAATGCACTAAGATCTGCTGGTTCAAATTTAACCCTAAGAACATATTTTGCAACATTATATGACCTAAATATGAACAGGAAAGTAAAATAAGTGCTTTTCTGTAAATTAGTCAATAAAACCTAAGAAACATGATTTGTGTCTCAGTGAACCAGAGGAGGCTAATAGTAATAGCGTCAGTCAGGCAGTGCCGCTGCCTTGCGTTAGAAGCCTCCTAGAGTGACAGCCAAGGATGGAGATGCTCCGAAGGGTCACGTCCACTGAGGAGATGGAGCAATGAAGTTCAGGTGCTAGGCAGATTATCGCATCGCAGGATTGTGAGAGATGGTGGTAACTTGGGGAGGTCTCCATCCAGCAGTAGACTAATCCGTAGCCGACGGTGGTGGTGGTGGTGATGGTGGTGGTCGTAAGTGGGTCTGATGGCCCTGGGTTTTATTTGGGCTTTGACATGTATTTATACCTGTGTATGGAATATATTTACAAGTTTTTTGTTAACAATTAATATACGTTACTCTACTTTATAACAATTATATAATGAAAGCGTTTAATGTTCAAGCAAGAAAAAAGGAATGTTTTTAACTTAATTGGAGGAATATAACCCATTGCATTATAGCAGATAGTAGATACCACCACACTGTGTGACAACCCACAGGCCATGTAATTATTTCGTTTACTCCAAACAATATTTATTGTTCAAAGTTCTTTTTTAAATCATTTTTTTTTGGTTGGGTTATTAAACATGGTTCAGGTGGCTCATCCGGATGCGACCCAATGAAATGTTTTTTATAAACATATGTAAATAAAATAAAACACTTCCAATCCAATTTCAAACCGACAAAAAATGTGCGGATGCGGATCTCTAATGGATAGGATCGAGAAAGTAGAAGCCCCAGCAAACACAATGAGTTATGTGCACAGAGGAGATTTGTGTTTCACGAACAGGTCCGGAATATGGTAAACTTTCTTCCAGGGTAATTAATTCCCTATTCTGGCACCATCACGGCCCCCTGGTAATGGTCCGAGTGGAAGTTCGCAAAACAAGCAACGGTCGATCCCTGGTTAGGTGGTGCAAAGTTTTTTGTCCAGACTGTGTTACGACATATAATGATGAGTGCAATCCCCAACCACAGACCGAGCCAACCAATAAGGCTCCCACATGCGCATACACTACTCATTTTATCAACCGAGGAGGGATGATGATTATGTTGATTATGAGAAAAGTTGTCCTTATAATTGAATGTGTACTCGCATCCATCTGATGCAGAGCTCATCTGAACACCTCCTGTGTTCAACTCTCACACATCAGGTCACCTCGCTCCTATTTCTGCTTCTCCACTTTTAAATTCACCTCCCATCGCCTCTTTTTCTCAAGTTCTTATAAACCTTGCTCAATGCAAGAAATGTAATAACTCTCATCTATTACGATTTTCTAAATTCTTTGTTACCAGGTAAGGCCCAACGAGCTGCTGCACATAGCTATGTTTTTAGAAGCGACCTGGCTACAAATGATAGCTCAAATGAAGTGGCTTAACACGTGGAAATTTATAGCAGCCAAATGTTTCTAAATTTTGGTAGTGTTTGTTTTTTTACTGCCATTTTGGGCCATTGCACCTGTTCGCAACAACCATAATCAATAATATATATCAACCACAATGACAATCGGTTGGATTGGTTCCACGGCAATCCGTTCCATTCTGCCAATGCTAGAATGGGCAACAGTCCCTCTCGGCAGTGGCCATGCCAGGAGGTTCAAGCGAGCGTCCACCAGGGCATTCCTCGTGAATTGTGGGTAAGTGAGTTCCGTGGCCCAGGGCCCCTTGCCTTATGTCCTAGCTGCACCCAAACATTGGCTCATTCCTCTGCGCAGACCGAGCCACGACAGATGGCCCACCTTAGCATGCATGGCAAAGGCCCCTGAGTTAATTGCAAGTTGAAGATGTTCTAAGGTTTTCCAACAACAACAAAAAGCGCCATCCATTGTTCGGAAGAATGTGCATAATGGCTCTGTGAGAATGAGGGTGGTGAGCGACGTTATGCAAAGCGGGTTTTTTAATGGACTTATTCAACATTGGAATAGTAGAAACATCAATGTCAGTATATTATATATTATATTATATATTATTTTATTGTTTCTCTTCAACGTGACTTTACCGAAAGAACCAAGAATATGAATCACTGCAGTCACGAAAGCTTTTAATAAAAAAAAATCAGCTGAGATTAGGAGCACACTCTTAAAGGGAGTGCTCCTAATCTCAGCTTGTTACCTGTGTAGTGCCTTGGATTCACTCGGACGACAATCGCCTTTCTTCCATCGTCACTTTTATTTCCATTGTTCCGCACACACACACACACACTTTATATATCATTACACACACATACTATAATTTCTCCTCTCCGCGCTCCGCCAACTCGAACACTCGAATTCCCCTTAGCACCCGCCGCTCATACTCCTTGTCTCACCACACAGTCTCCTCTTCACTCCCCGCACACACAGTGGTTCTCTCTCTATCTCCTCACACACAGTGACTCGTCTATCTCTTCACACACAGTGACTCTCTCTATCTCCTCACACACAGTGACTCGTCTATCTCTTCACACGCAGTGACTCGTCTATCTCTTCACACACAGTGACTTGGCTATCTCTTCACACACAGTGACTTATCTATCTCTAACTCTCCCTGTACCTACCTATACCGTAACTACCACTCTGCTAACGCTAACTTACCTATCGCTATTTATTGTCCTCTGGGTTCGGCTCTCAATCTATTCTTCACTAACACTTGCCGGCTCCCCTCTTTGCATCTCTTGCTGCTCTCTCCACTTCTCGCCAACCACTCCCCAACAACAACTCAACTCCCCGTCCAAATCACCTAGCGTTATCCCCTTTCCAATCAGCCTTAATTAATTGCCACGTGCCTCGCTGGCACTTTCCCGCCAGCTCGCACCTGTCCAACGGCCCAGACTTCGTGACGCCGCCACTTAACGCTAACAGCCTCTCGACCAATCACAGCCCTCGTGCCTTGACTCCCTTAATTACTTTGGTTTGCTTACGTCACCGGTGACTTCACCACCTGCTCGACCTTATGTGACCCACACTGTTTGTATGTACTGTATATGGCCAATTTACCCATGTGTATCTTCTACTCCACTACATCACTCCCCCCCCCCCCCCCCCCCCCCCCCCCCCCCCCCCCCCCCACCCCCCCCCCCCCCCGTGATGAAAGAACCTAGCCGTCCCCGGCTACGCTATACTCGAATTGGAGTAGTGGAGTGAAGCGGACGGAACAATGATAACATATATACAGAACACACTCGCAACACATGACCATTTTGTACAACCACCCGACACGCACCACACAACGACAC